TTACATACCAAATTAAATGATTACGCGAAAACAATTCAATACAAGATCGCTTCTGCAAAATACGGTTCAAAAAATTCAATTACTTTGATGGCAATGTCGACATAGGATTTAAACTCGACAATAATTTCAATATAAAACAGAGAAAGAACGCGATCTTAACATTACGCTACCGTAAATGTAAAGAATATTATGGCGTTTAATATTCATGTAAACGTCGCTAGCATTATACAAAATGTTTAAGAAGCGAAAACGTTTTGCAAAGTTTCATTGTACTGAACTCGACGGAAAGTTGCGTTTTTTAACTATGTTATGGAAAGAATATCATATTATATTTGCGAGTTTTAAATTTAGATTCGTGAACGAAAATATACATACGTCTTACGCGAGTACACATTTAAACCGTTAAAGTGTTTTATAGGCAGTATTTAATTAACCAGTACGGGCTGGAAAATGCAAACAACTAATATATCGCGTTTTAAACCGTTAAAGTGTTTTATTTAGAAAATATACATGTATAAATTTGAAAATACTTCTTTTAAATATAAATCACTTTAACGGTTTAAAACGCGTTTTATTTTAGTTAAACTTATTTTATTTAAATGTTAATCTATTAGCTGACCAGGCAAAGGTTCGCCGTAAAATATGTAGGTACTCGTAAATCTTAAAAGATAGATACTATTATACTATACTGTTTTTATATTGTTGCAGACTATTTTTAGATCAGTTAAAAAATATTAATTCTTTTATACATTTTTGGGTATCATGAACCCTTTTCGCAGCGCACGCATTGGAAACCCTCACTGACAAATAATTTTCGACATGTCTCACTATTTATTAGCTCCTATTTGTCGCAGCATGATCATTTATACCTTAAATCCTTCTGGGATAAATGCCCTTACAAACCAAATTTTTCAAACCAGTACTTTCTTTTATAGCGCATTCAAATAAACAAACACACTCCTTAGCTTTATAATATTAGTAAAGATATACACTTAAAATTTTTCATTTCGACTTATGAATACTAAATTAAATGTTTGTCTTTGTTGACATAGCAATGTGGAGGTTCTGGCCAAGTTTCGTTTCAGTTCCTTGTTAAAGTATTTAATCTTTGCAGCCACGTCATGTCAATGTCAGTGTTATGTGAACGCCACAAATCAACGACCACCGATCAGTACAGTGACGTAACGTAAAATTGGATAGTGCGGTTGGCTTAATGAAAAACCTAAATTATCATTTTTAATTGATATTAATTTTATGATTGAGGATCGATTGATGTTAAATAGGAGGTAGGAATACCGAAATTTTGCCCGGGTCACAAACTACCGTCCACAGGTGATAAAAAAGCCGTCAAGCTTAATCGCCTTAACAGTCAGTGAATTTCCGAATATCCAAAGACAAAATAGCTCGACGGCGCATCTTGTTTAGATGTTATATGGCTGGGGTGTTTCACCTATGCCTGTCAGTCCTTCTCTATCATAAAAAAAGATTTCGAATCATAAGTGTATATTGGATAGTCAAAATTATTGAAATATATTACGCCCGTTATAACGAATACGTCTGTTATGTGGTTCGTCTTGCACTCGTGCCCTGTAGTTACTAACCATTTAGACCAAGTTCCACTGCAAGCCCGTACATTAATCATTTCCTTAATAGCTGAGAAGAGGTTTATTACATGCACGACCTCACTTGACGCGTCTGCACAAGTTTCAGACACTTTAGTTAAGCAGTCGAGCGTTTATAGCTCGAATACATTGCGGAAACAAATAATGATTCATATGTTATCACAAGAAATTTAAACAACGAAAAACATCAAATTAATAACGGTTTTATGTTAATAACAAGCTATACCAGCGACTTCGTCCGCGTTGAATAGTTATTTTGGGCGTCAAAATTTGTTTTTGCAAACCACGTCCTCGTCTTTAAAAAATTTTAACTGTTACCCGTGACGTCGTTCGCGTCTCGTCGTTATTGCAAGTTAATCTTAAAAGATAGACATAAACGGTCACAAAGATGAATAATTTTCCCTATTTTTCCACATTTCCCATGATATCTTCATTCCTATTGGTCGCATCGTGATGTTTTATAACTTAAAGCCTTCCTCCATAAATGTTCTTACCAACACAAAATGTTTTAATTCGAATCAATAGTTACCGAGATTAGCGCGTCCAAACAATTAAATATTAGTATAGACGAAATATTTAAAGAATAAAAAATAATACCATAATACCTTAATGGATAAGCGAATACATACATATAGAATGAAGACAAAACAGATCTAAGATGAAAATTGTTGGAACTCCGTTTCAATTTCTGTTTGACATGGCATAAAACCACACGCTTAAATGAGTTTTGTAGACTAAAATACAATTTTATAATATACATTACTTAGTCTTACATTATTATCTCAAAGTCAGATACTGTAATTCAGTATTTCAAGAGGTCGAGTAACCTTTCACTGTAAAGATTATATCTTGCTTTGAGCTCGCGGTTTTTAAATTTATTTTTAGAGAGACTCCACTTTTCTTACTTAGAAAAGTGGAGTCGCTAAGGATTAAATGCGAATACGATGTAAATCGGTTATAAATAACTCTGACATTAACTTAGATTATTTATTGAGATACTTAAAGCCAGAGACGTCTGGATGTTAAAGTGTGAAAAGAACGGAGTACAAATTACATATTGCTTTGTATAGTTACGGTATCTGAGAATATGATTATATCAAATAAGATATTTTAAGATGCCTGTTGATTTTTAAAGTGAAAAATATATATTTTGCTAAGACTTTTTTGCATCAGTATTTTTTTGGCTCTTTAAAGTTTGTCTAAAGACGACTAACAAATTTTTGGTTTACTCTTTTACACTCCTTAATAATAAAATGTATTTTACATGTATTACGATACATAAACAAATATACAAAATCGGTATTAAGTTTGATGTCGCTATTTAATAAAAGTAATTAACTTTTAATCTTAATTGATATTATAATTTAGTTGACGATTATAATTTAAAACTGATCAGTTCAGAATGAGCATAAATAGATTAAAAGAATGGCATATTAACATTTCTGTGTCCGTCCGATTCACGACGGCCAAAATAACACAGCAAATAGTTAGCTAGACTAATTCATTTCTCTTTTCCATTATTTTATCATATTAAATACTATTCATCTGGAAACAAAATCGATTCGTGAAACGTCATAGTCTTGATCCTATAACGACCTTACGCTCTTTTATTTCACAGCCTCGCTGCGTTCAATCTATTGACATTTTTATTTCCTTTGACAAACTAACATTCCTGTTGCCAGCACCTGTCAAGCTGTCAGCTTGACAACGACACATTCGTAATTCGAATCGCGGACTCTATGTACAGTCGCGTTCACAACTTAACAAAAGACCTGAAACGAATAATACGAACACTATCACACAATGTAACTTCCGTTGTTATTTCTACATTTTCGGCGCGAAATTACTTTAAGGTTTCGAAGGCTTATGTGAAACAAAAATTCACCAAAGCCTCTCCCTATATATTTAACGTAGTTGTTTTGTCAGTGATGGATATATTTAATAGCTGCTTTCATAAGGAAAGCTACGTAAAATTGATCTCCCTATAATGATGTAAGATAAATAAGACGAATTCTATGACAAAACGTTAAAATCTTAACACTAGAAGCGCTGAATTGTGATAAATGAATGTCGCAGTCTCGCTCTTTAATTTTCATTTTATCTTCCTCTTTTAGCAAGTAAAAGTGGTTACAGCTCGACCCCTTTCATTAATTTTACTCTGTGGTTTGTCATTATTACGGACACGCCAAGAAAAACTTTTGAAATCACCGTATTTCTGAGTCATTATTTCAGTCATAATGATATTGTGTACGAAAAATCTGAAAATCACTGTAATTTATGAACACTTTAATATTCCTTACTTTTTATTGCGCATGATGACACTATGTATATTAAAAATCGAAAATAAATTGAAGAAAATTAAAAAAAAATACAGCTTTGTAATTTGATCTGCAATGATTTTCTTAAGCTGCAAAGCATAAGACATTGAACCTTAATACGCAAGTTAAGGCTGAAATTACATTGCGAGAGAGGTCCATGTGTATGTTAAAAAAAATCGACGATGGGGTGTGGGACTCGGTAGCTCAATTGGTTAGAGCAACAGCACTAACCGCTGACGATACCGGTTCAAGTTCTTCCCCGTTCGAAAACTTTGTCAATTTATTTTCGACGTTTAATCTGTAAAATTTATATTATTAGTTATATAGTGTTATTTTCGAAGTTACTACGTTGCTGAAACGTAATAACGTGATTCGCTGTGGTTTTAATAAGAGTTAATAATATTGTCACTCTTGTAAGAGTAATGAAGCTTTATCGGCGTAGGAACTTTAATTAACTTAATACCATTGTAAATAAATTAAGTTCTTTGCGGAACCCTCAGAAGTCAATTATAAATAGAACTCGATTTCGCTGCGTAGCAAATTATTTGTTTAACTTTCAAAGTTAATAGCTTTGAAATCAGAAATCTTGTAAAGTGTGACTTGGGAATTATTAGATGAGGAAGGGTTATCGGGTTATTTTAAAGTTTAGTAAGTGTAACGGAAGCTTAGAAAAACTTTATGAAGTAGGTAGACTAATTTTACCTAATACATACATTAATATCAGCACGGTTTTAAGTTTTTAAATAATATTAATAAAAATAATGCTAATTACTGTCTATAGTTTTCGCGAGTCGTACACATTTGAATAAAATTCTTTACCAGTTTATTTAAATGTGTAAAACGTTAATTAAACTTATTTAAACAATATTTTAACTACGGCCTGACGCTTCGGCTGCTACGTTTTAAACAAATAAATAATAGAAAACTATAATATTTATAAAAGTTTTTATAGAAACCAGCAAATTTATAATTATTATGTAATAAGAAAAAATGTGATGAAAATTCATATCCATGAGTAATTTTCCCTAAATAGAAAATATTATTATTTCTTTCCAGAACGATGCGGCCCATTATTCCTCTCATAACCGTATGTTTCTATACTCTTCTATCGAGTGGAACCTCCAGCGGTGACGATAGAAGATGGCTGGTCTCCCTCATAGACCTCGTAGAGCTGGACTATCAAGACCAATGTGGCCAGCGAGCTACAGCAACGTGGGAAGAACTTATAGGAAATAGCAAAGGTCTATCGTTAAAAGTAAGTATGTTTAAACAATGTCTGTAGTTTACGCGAATAGTACACATTTAAATAAAACACTTGTATGGTTTAAAACGCGTTTTATATTAGTTTAACTTATTGGGAAATTATTTTAATTACGGCCCGATGTTTCGGATGCTTTGCAGCAGTCGAATCAGTAGCAGCAGTGGTCTCGCGGAGACAAGATGGAGGGTGTATCTTACGTCAAAGTAAAAAACACGCTAGCGCCATCTTTTCCGCCGAAGTTGGTATTAGACCAAATACGAACTTCGGCGGAAAAGTTAAAGGTTCTTTAAAATTTATTTATCGCAGTTTGTCAAATGATAACTAATTTATTCTAGTAAAGTAATAAAAAGTAATTCCTTTTCGTTAATTATGAAATTGCTTAGTAAATTTCGATAACACAATTTTTAACTTTATAAATTTTTAGTGGTACTAAACTCTATCTAAATCGTCTGCGTAGTTTGGGTAATATATACTCGAACAAACACACTTAAATTTTAAAGCGTCATATATCATTAAACCAAGCTTAAATATTGTTAAGTAGTTAGTACAGAATATTGTCTGTTAATGTTGTGTTTTAAACTAGGATGGAGTGTTTAAATAAGTTTGAATTTTAAACTTTTAAAGTGCAGAGACAGACGTGGCTTGAAGAGTTTATAAGAGTGTACTAAATAATGCAACGTTTTATACTCTTTGAGGAAATAATCCTATTACTCCCTGATATGTAAGCTTATAGTCGTAAGTAAATGTACTTTGTCTTTTTTGTTAAGTAAGCCGACTAAGTTCTTATGAATCAATTAGGACTAGGACGTAGATTCGATTAGAAATGTATATCAATAATCCAAATATTTTAAGATAATGTTTCAACATATGTCTACTACTTAAGGTATACGTATTTAAACATGTAGAGAAAGTTATTGAAAATAATTTACCCAATTAGTCAAAAATTATTCCAATCAAAGCTCCTCGGCATTATTAGAATTTTGAATATAATCTTTGTGACATTCAGATTTTTATAGGTTACTTATAAGTTAAGTCTTATAAGAAATGGACCACGCATTTATTTTAACAGGACAGAGACATCCAATTAAACTTTTCTCACGAAAAAAAAATAGTACATATTGATGACTTTAAAAATTAGCAAATGAATTTACCTTAAAGGTTTTATTCCTAGGCATTTAGTTGGTCAAGCTCACTTCCAGACGATTCTAGAACGTCTCGCGGATTATGGTGTCATTATACGGTGGAAGTCAATGTCTGTAAAAAAAGACTTAAATTTGGCATTCGGCATGTACGACTGTTGACCTCCCAGTTGTTATTACAAAGAAAGTTAACTGGGATAATAAATATGTATATCGCAGACATAAAACTATCTGGGTCACTCGAATCCATCGGGACTTCGACACAGAGTAATGCTATAAAAATGCTTGTCGTATCAAAAATTCTTATAGAATTGGAAAATTGTTTCCCTGACCCCGAAACTTTATTGAGCCTTATAATTTACCGATCTCAAATCGAAGAAATGGCGCACACCGAAGATGTTACTAAGCAAAAATACGATAAAAGGAATAATTATTTCTTTCAACACTATTCCGACGCGAGGGCGGCATGTAATAAAATATAAACGAAAATTACAAATTAGATTCAATAGTACCTACCTTATTTTCGAACCTTAATATTTTTTAAATGTTATTGGACACGATGACATTATAAGAATTAAAAATTTATTGTAGAAATTATAGATTATAGATGATACCTCAATTGGTTAGAGCAACAGCATAGATGCTGTGGATGCCAGTTCAAGTCTCGACCGTGTCGTAAAAAAATTTTCAATATAATTTAAATTTTTCATTGTAAACAATATCTTTTTTTGTAAGTGTTCTTTCTTACAATATGATTATTTGCTTATTTTTTCATTCATGTCGGCAAATATATAAATCTCTTGAGATTAACGACTACGTAGGATAGCTAATATCTGTAACTATCTTTAAAGTGTAGGCATTTACACCAATTTAAAAATTAGTTATGTATAAACACTATTAAGTATATGGGTTCAGTACAAAAGTAGAATTATGACACATAGTCGTTTATTCTAAGATTATACATATAATAATTATCTTACTGTTTAACCTACTATAAAAGTTTGTTTATCACAACTGAGCTGTGGGTAAATGAAGAAGGTTTTAAGAAAAGTGAACCTGGTCTTATTTCCAAGTCCATTAGAAAAAGACGCGCCTCCTTAGAGACTTATTTACAAACATTTCTTTTGTCTGTGATATTTACAATTACTCTGTTGTTTACCTATGTAGGGCTACCAATTCTGCTACCACAGAGTATAATGTCTAATAATATAATTGAAGAAAGTTGGAACATAATGTTCTATATAAATACACGAATAAAAGCATGTTAATTTTACACGACAATTTTTTGTTCACAGAAGTTGCGTAATTGTCAAAATTCACAATACTATAATTTTTTAGCAACTGTTTAATATGACCACAGATTAAATCACAAAGAAAGTAGTATATATATATATATGTGTGTGAGAAATAATGATAGTGTGTGTAATGTGTGTAGTTTGTGAATATACTTTGTCAAAAAATATGTGTTTTACCATTTATAACTGAACGAATTGTGCGTATCTCCCTATTTATGTAATATATATGTACATACATATATAATCTTATACTAAGTGAAAACAACTTTTGATTATATACATGTCTTTAGAAGTGAACGGAAGACGCTTGATTTGATTCGCAACATTGTGAATATCCGAACTCATTTATAAATTAGCTCCGGGCAACCCTACGTTATTTGTTTCTTGTTTACGAGATTAAGTAAATAAAGTAGGTAGATACGTGTAAGCACAACAATCTAATACAAGAATGTACGAAGTATATTTCGTTTTATAGGCAACATTGTCTTGTATATTTGCTGCTTACTGTGTTTTTATTCAGAACAAGCAATATAAACAATCGGTAAATTAAATACTTATGAACAAGCGGAGGTTTGTCACAAGAACATAACACTATACGTGTTAGAAGGCGAGATCGACTAGAAATCGTCTATATTAATTGCTAGATAGTGTATTTGTTGCAGCCTAGGCAGAGTGTCCGCGTATAGTCTAAAATCTAAATAGTAAAATTTCCTTTGGAATCGTTCAAATAGGCTTCCTTTTACTGATTGATTTCATTTAAACACGAGTGGTTAATATGGGGCTGCCTCTTCCGATCAAAACTATTTCTGTTTTTATTATATTTATTATTGCTTTATTATTTATAAAACACACCACAGAAAAAACACATAAATGGGGAAAAATCTTATGTGCTAACTTATAAATAAAAGGCGGCTTTATCGCTAAGCAGCGATCTCTTCCAGGCAACCTGAAGTACAGGAAATATATATATATATATATATATTTCGTGGGTAGGTGTAAGGAATAAGAGAGAATATCAAGGTACACAGTGAAAGTACACACAACGAGTAGGAGAGACTAACTACTACTACTAAGACTCTTAAAAGAACGGAGTGATTGAGCTTTTCTGAAATTAGTGGGAAGAGAGTTCCAAAGACGGCTGTTACATAATCCAAAACTCTATATTATTGTATCGTTACATTATTTACCTTTATTATTATATAATTACCTTTTCATGTTTCCACAGCTGGAACGAGACAAAGCCTTCGGCATTTTCGCTAGACAGCAGAAAACGGATGTGAGGACAGCCTTCAATTCTCATTCCTTGACGGCTGACGATGATATTCTTCGAAGGAGGATCAAACTGCTGTTACAACCTGGTGATTCCTTACTGGAACCTGAGCAGTGGATACGGGTAAGATTTTCTTCATTTTTAAGTACTTCAAAAACTGCTTCAGCACCAGCATCACGGATTACTTTAGATGCCGGTTCAAGCTCCGCGCGTGATCAGGATTTTATTCATTTAAAATAGATTTTTAATCTGTCATTAAGTTGTAATAATATCGTGTTGTGTTGTTTTCTTTATTTCCTTAATTATATAATATGTAACTATATCAACAATATGTATATAGTATATATTTAAAAAAATGATGAATGACCGCCTCTGTAGCCAAATGGTTAAACGTATTTCCTAACATTGCGTTGAGCGCGAGAGGTCCTGGGTTCGAATCCCAGGGAAACAAAAAACAATTGTTTCGGTCGGGCAGGGGCACAGATGTCTGATCAACTACTTGCCTATTAAAAAAACTGATCAGTGAAACGGACACAGAAATGTGTTCGCCCCATACGCTCCACGAGGGGAAAACGGGCTTTCACTATTTATTAAAAAAATAATAGTATTTTTTAACTATCAGTTAAATTTGAAAACCAGAAAACATTGCTTAAGTTGTTCATAACTAAAATAGAATACAGTTAAATTTTTATTTTATACTTAAAAAGTACAATACTACTACAAACAATACAATACTACATAAAAAGTAGTAAGTAGGCGTGAGACACAGAAATATATCTGTCTATTCTCAATTAGGATGAACGGAATCAAATTGTAAGCATTTAATTATCTAACACCGGAAACAATAGACATGGTATGCGTGGGCCTTTATAAACAGTTCGAGTACTCTATAACTCTTCAGTAAACAAACGCTTACGCCGTAGGCATCATATTGTCCACGGGGTCCATATTTGCTGTTTGAAATTAATGTATAAATAACTTAAGTTTTTTGTATCGACTTAAAGAAAGATTCAGCATTCGATGTAATAAATTAATTTTATATTGCTGTCTCCAAAATAGGTATTTTATAAAGATACTGTCTATAGTTACCGCGAGTAGTACACATTTAAATAAAACACTTTAACGGTTTAAAACAGTCAGACAGGGAGACAGTCTCCCCGTGACCACGGCTTATGTAAAGCATCCGAAACGTCGGGCCGAAGTTAAAAATCATTTCCAAATAAGTTTAACTAATATATCGCGTTTTAAAACGTTAAAGTGTTTTATTTAAATGTGTACTACTCGCGTAAACTATAGACAGTATTTTTATAAAATACCTATTTTGGAGACAGCAATATAAAATTAATTTATTACATCGAATGCTGGCGACAGCGTGCTATAAATCCTTATTTAATTTATATGCCTTTTCTTATTTATTAGCGAAATGAAATTAAGACCAATATTCGGATGAAATATAATATCAAGTTAATTTATCTTACGTATTAGTTTGGCAAACAGTCGGCAAGCGATTCACGATCAAATATTTCCTTACCTGATCTAACCAAGTTAGCTATATCCCTAATTCTAATACTATTTGTTTGATACATTATGATATAACAAATACCACTATAATTTGGAATTGCGGTATTTGATAGATGCCCTTACATTTACTATGTTCTGAGCCAATCGATTTTTGCATGGTGCGTTTATTTTAGTAATCACTAGTTATTGCCCGCGAACTCTTATGTAATAGGTATCATGTGAATTGGTATAAGTATTTTTTCATAAAAAAATATCGATCAAACTTGGTCTTAAAGCAATTAGAGCTACTAACATATGTGGTAACTAATCCATCATCCTTATAATTTTATATATACTTGTTGCCTACGTTAAGCACGAGGGCTAATAAGTTTGAATCTCAGAAAAACAATATATTATGTGGGTTAGGCAGGGAACAAACGTTTAATTACGTTCTGACGTGTAAATAAAATTCGATCAATGAACGCACATAAATGTTACCGCCCTATACACCATTTTCTATCAGTTAACATATCATATTTTTTTCTGAGGAAGGTACAGAATTTTTTAAACTAAACCCTTTTTCACTGCTATAATATTTATAGTCTAAGCTGAGAAATCTACTGGTAAGAGTATGCTAAGCATCCTTGCAGTTCTCATGTAGATTAAATAGCTTTTACACAAAAAAAAATTGTTCTATTTTGTCACTCTCATTCTTTCTTACACATACAGACGAGCATTTTCTATCTCTTCATAGTATAATTTTTTATTCGTTCTTGTAGATCATGTTTACGTATTAGATTAAGATTGAACAGGTATTTTTAGATGATTTGTTTAACAGACGAGACTTTTAATCTCCTAAATATATCGAATTACTTCACTGACTAGATGACTAGATATTATTTAAGATGGAAAAACATTATGACACGGGTCTCAAATCTACCACCTCAGCGTTCCATGCTTCATTTATGTGTGGCGGGTTTTAGGCCCACCAGTATCCTATCTTACTTATTAAATTGTCTACCTTCACTAACCCAGTGGTAACTTAATATGTGACATAAGATGCATATTTAAAGAAAAAAACACGAAGAAGCCATCATCAAAAACTTTGCGATCGTTTGAAAACAAGTTAATCCAAACCGTTATTCTTTACCGTCTTTCATTCGTTCTTGTTAATTGCTTTGTTACACTAATAATTCTGCGTCATAATAATTATAACTTGTAACTTAGTTACCCTATTAAGTTGTCAAACTATAGATATATTCAATAATTGGTATGTAACATAGAAGATTATACCAATTATCTCATGTTTTACTTCAATAAAAGGGGTTGGTGATGACCGCGAACCCAGCTTACGAATATTTAAGCTTAACGTTTGATATCCATCGGCGTATAGACACATTAGATTTCAATATTTCGTTTGACATTCCAAATATACCCTAAAATCTAAATAGTTGATCGTTTGGAACCGTACTCTAATTTTAGAACTAGCTGACCTGGCAAACGTTATTTTGTCATATGAAGTATTTCGACTAAATTTGATTAACGTAACATATAAACGTTTCTTATTAGATTTGTGAAAGAAGAATATTTCTTTCCACATTTTGTACTGTTTCTTCATGCTAATTGGTCGTTGTCTGATTGTTTAAACGCTTCCTCGACAACAACCAACACAAAAATATGTTTTCAACTCGGACCAGTAGTTACTGAGATGAGAGTGTTCAAACAAACAAATCCTTTAGCTTTATTAGTATAAATATATACCAATGTTTCTTCTCTTCTTATGATGATAACTTAAGAAAAGTTTATAAACATGCAGTACTTTTTCTTAGCTTACCTTATTGAAAAACTTTTCACAATCATTTGGATATAGCTTTAGACTATTGATTTAGGATGTATTTTTGTTGCCATACCCTTAGATCCAGAATGAGCACGATACCTATATATACGTTCATAGAGTCTAAATTAAGAAAGTTATAAGGAAACCGCGTGTGTACATTTCATTATGGGTTTTATAGCGCTTTTGAACTCGATTGTACTTCTCAGTACAATTTCAATCAACTTAAAGTATTATTAGTATGTGCAAAAGGGAAGTGTAGCTAGCTTCATGAAAACAGCAAATTGTTAAATCGTATAATTACTCTCTTGGCGGTGAGTGAGTGTTGGTTTAAAAAAACACAATATATATATTTCATTTTTAAGCTGTTTTATTCATAGTTTAATCCTGAGAGGTTTTGTATATTCTTGGAGTAGGTGTCTTGATTTAGTAGATGACTTGACAGGCTCGGTGGAGTGATGTCTGGCTAATAATTCACGGATCGTGAGTTCTATCCCCACTAGGTTCAGCATGGTTTTAATGAATTTATAATTTTTCTCAACCATGAGCCTTCCTTTGGAAATCTAGATATTAAATGGGTGGAAGGAATATCGAAATTCCAGGTCACAAACCACTATCCACAGATGGATAAGCCGTCAAGGTTTCGGATTCAGTCTGAAGATTACTGAATATCCAAAAACATGTCCACAACGCAACTTATCAAGATAATATATAATTTAAAAATCGAAAATAAATTGAAAAAAATTTCCACTCGTTAGGACCTGAACCGGCATCGTCAGCGTTCCGTGCTGTTGCTCTACCAATTGAGCTACCGAGTCCTACACCTCATCGTCGAATTTTTTTAACTTATTGATACATGCACCTCTCGCGCTATGTAATTTCAACCTTAACACTTACGTGTTAAGGTTCAACGTTTTATGCTTTGTAGCTTAAGAAATCATTGAAGATGAAAATACAAAGTTATAACGTTTGAAAACATTAATATTTTTTACATGTTATTGCACATGAAGGCAATATATAATTTTAAAATCGAAAATAAATTGAAAAATTTTTCCACTCAATTTACCAATGGAGCTACCGAGTCCTACATCTCATCGTCGAATTTATTGAAAGATAATATATGCCACATATATCATATCAAGTGAACGCTTGTCCATCTCTATCAAAAAGAGTTTTAGACCACCTTCATATTTAATGTCTTCTGATAGTACCACACGTACATGTTTGAGGTTGCGTTAGCTTACGAATACTACATAAAAGGCTCTAAAACTTGAGATTGCATGTGTACTCAGTTGGAATATGTGCAGAGATGGCGCTATTATTAAACACGTTGTCTGGTAATGTCTAATGCAGTGGTCTTGTTCACAGCTGGTGACATTTGCAGACACGTCGCTCAACCACATCAGGTTCGCTACGGATTATGACTGTGGAGCAAATGGAAACTGCACTCTTAGAGGTAATTATTAGGCGCTGTATTGTTAAAAATGTTATTAGAGGTATGGGCATTCTTGCATTAGCTTGTGAATCGCTATAGAAGTTAGGTTACACATTACAGGCTTACAGCGCCTTCATCCATAAAGGTCTAACCAACATAAAAATATTTTATTAATAAGAACCAGTACTTCCTGAGTGTAGCGTTCAAACCATCAACTTTATATACTATCTTTAGTTTACGCGAGTAGTACACATGTAAATAAAACACTTTAACGGTTTAAAACGCGATATAGATTAGTTAAATTTATTGGAAAATTATTTTAACTCCGCCCGACGGGTGCTTTGCAGCAGCCGTGGTCACGGGGAACCATTTAAGTGTTGTATTTTAACAACAACTTTATAATATTAGTATCATAGACATCTATATGTCATCAGATATTTAGACATCTTCAAGAGGATAATATTTGTAACATCACACACAAACAAAAAAATATAAATTTAAATAAAATACTTTAACGGTTTAGAACGCTCTATATATTTTAGTTGGTCACGGGGAGACTAATAGACCACGGCTGCTGCAAAGCATCCGAAACGAACGGGCCGTAGTAAAAAATAATTTTCAATCACATTTAACTACAATGATTTAAGTTTAAAACCATTAAAGTGTTTCATTTAAATATGTACTACTTGCGTAAACTACAGACAGTATTAAAATATGAAGTTAATAAACAAGACAAACGTAACGCCAAATTTTGTATAACAATTTATAATTGACTAATGGTAACCGATTTATTGCGCTGCTTTCAATAAATATTCCATCTAGCTTTAACAAATAATTGATCTATCTGCAAATTGATAGGTTCCCGAGTGAAATATTTTTCAAATCTAAAATATAAAGTACATAAAAAGTATTTTATTAACTTTCTCGGCCGAATTGATGGCGAATATTAATTTTTCAGCTTCACTGAAGACTTTTTAATTTCGAGATTCTTTCGAGTGTTAATAACACTTGTATTTTAGGTCTTTTTCCTAAACGAGTAACTCTTTTTTATATACATTGAACTGTCTGTTTGATCTTTAGTAGTACTGCAATGTTTAAGAATATTTTGTTCAACAGAAATGCACAATAGCTTATCTAGGGAGCAAGATGAAGACATTTTAAAGCGAATGAAAGCATCTTGGGAGAAGAAGCTGCCGAATATAAATGAATATTTGGACAACATTTTGCCGATTCTTAGAAATGCGTCGAAAGAAAATCGTGAGTTATTTATTCAAATATAAAGTTAATAAATAGTAAATAAACATTTTTTTTAAGTATCATCAAGAAACATTTTTCCTATTTATAGCTAATTACTATTGTCCATACATACTTCCAACCGCCTCTTATCAACTCTTAATGGATTACTATAAACGCAAGATGGGTTTGATTCCTATAGATAATTCGATTAGGTAATACATAGAATATGATTACTGGTGGCGGTATTGAAATACTAGCCTGGGTGAGACACAGATTTGTGTCTGTCCCACGAGTTATGTCAAAGAAATGGGTTTTCACTTTAGATACATGCAAAAGTGGTTGCTGGAATATTAATGGATGTATTTTATACAAATTAATATTTTATTTTTGAAGTTATAATAATTATTTTGACTAAACGGCTATCATATTGCTATTACATTGTGTAAGGCTTTCACAGCTATCGTTCAGCATATCATTGTCTTTCGAGCTGATGATGCCGTCCACACGTGATGGCCTATCGTCGAGAACCTCTTCTCGCTCACATCAGCCGAACAGTCCGAAAGACAATGATATGCATATTGCTATTGTTTAATAAATATTTTTAAAAACGTTTGTAACGTATTTATAATTTTATCCCACCTAATTAGGGATACATGGAGGTATTGTGGTTAGCAAAGTTTTAATAGTACCCAGAGCTGGCGTTATAATCATTTTCATACAAGTTTAATTTAGAACTTTATACTGGCAACTTCTAATGCAGATTCGAAACAGTTATTGTCCAATTAAGAGAACCGCTTGTAAAGTGAAACATTGTTATATCAACTGTAATAAGGGACAAACATTGCATTTGTTTGTGTATAAGCTTCCTTAACTAGTGTTAATCAAATAATACATTTTTATTATATTTTCTGCTTATAGTTTATAACACCGTCGAAGAGTATTGGGATGCTCTAGTGGAGTATGAAGGTGCTATGCTGAAGGCACGCGAGATTTGGGATCATGTCAAGCCCTTATACATAAAGTTAAACAAATATGTTGCTCTGAGGTTGAAGGGCGCTGATGCTGTTGGGAAACCAATACCAATACACTCACTTAGTAAGTATTCCAAACCTGTCTGTCCATAAACCTTAATACAGAATTTGGAACATTGAAAACAATCCTCGTCTTATAATACTGTTAATATACGTTGTTTTAGGATGATCTCGCTCAATTCTTTTAAAAAGGTGAAAAGTAAAATCGCTGGCCAAACAGAGTTTATTTGGTCAGGCTCTGTCCCTCATTTGCTTATTACGTGACACGGGTACTCAACACTTTTTTATCTCGAGAACCTAGATCCTTTTTAACTTACTCTTCAATTTCATTTATATTATTTATGATAATATTATCTGTCTTCATTATTAAATAAATTTTAAATATGCTGAGAGAATTTTCTCTTAAATATATAGGAGAACATATTTTATCGAAAAGCGTCGCGGATTAAAGTGTTAAAACGCTCCTGGATAAAACATTCATTGTCTGAACTGTTTAAAATAAATCTCAACATTTTACAGCTATAAAATTCCCTAGTGTACCATATTCGAATCTTGCTCTTATATGCCAATAAAATCTATCGAAATACGGTTATGTGATTACCTCGCGAAGGCTAGTAAATAACGATACTTGAAATCTTTTCTAGGATCTCTAACGGGGGACGACTGGTCCAATCTTATTGAAATTCTATTACCTAAGCATTCGGATATCTACCAAAAGGTTTATGCTAATCTACATTTAATGGTGAGTATCCTAGCTCTCCAGAAAATTGTCAAAATTGAAGTTCAATATTATGAATATTTTTTATGTATTTTGAGGTCTTCAATATGCAAATTAAGCTAAACGTTTTGATTAGGCTCTATGTTAATCTAAATTACACTGAGATACCCTTAAAGCGACAGACATAAATGTTTCCAAGTTTACAAAGGATAAGTTTATCTAAGGAGTTTAAGTGAAGAGCAGTTTAGAATTTCCTAGGCAGACTTATCAAATATGTACGACGGTAAAATATATATTCAAATTTTAGGACATGGGAGGTCTAAACGCGTACAAAGAAGCTGAGAAAGTTATAAGACATCTTAATTTCGGTGAAATTCCACCAGAAATAATCACCGAATCGGATTACAACGGCACATGTCCTTCGACGATCGTCGACTGGTGCCAGCCAAATAAGGTTAAACTGGTTACATGTAAAGATGTCAGTATATCGAGCTATATGGAAGCCCATGAGGTTGCAATGAAGATAAAGTATAAGCTTATAGCTGCAACACACAGTAATAATACTTATGCCCTTCGTGAAGCTCCCAGATATTCAGGTAAGAATTAACTGGGTGCGCTTATTACACTTCTTATTTATTATTGTTGAAATTTAAGACCAGCTTCTGTGGCTTAAAAGAGATTATATTGCTCTAAAAATATATAAATTGTATTACTTCCGAAAGTTCATGTAATGTTTGTTTTTAGCTGTCTACGAGGCGATACCTGGCTTCGTATCATTGCTCTCCATGAACCCTCACACTCTCGATCGTGCCGGCCTGTACACCTTGGACAGATTCAATTTTAACCCGAACTATCACCGCTTAGTTCTGCAGCTCCTTATAGCCTTGAGAGATTTGCCAAAGTATGTCTTATTTATTCCCAATTATATACTGCTTTAAAGCCGATGTATAATATAATGTGTTTTTAGATTAAACTTTTATATGGCCGTGGACGAATGGCGTCTTCAAGTTCTGATGGGCAAGATTCCCTTCCCAAAAATAGCGAGCAGTTGGAGCGAATTCCGCAAGAATTTCTCTTTGATCGAATCTTCTAACGTCGATCTTTTGGGCGACCCTTACGTACTTTCGAATAAACCGTATATTGGGTGAGTTCAGTAACATCAAACAATTTAAATTTTCATTTAACATGATTTGAAATGTAACGAAATAACTTAATTTTTCAGGAAATTCATGGGACTAATTTTAAAATATCAAGTTTACCAATCTTTTGCTGAAGAGTTGATGTCTGATGATGGTGATTTAGTTACGCATGTTTCTGAAAACAACCAGCGATTAATGTATGTATTATTTGCAGATAAACTTTTTTAAAATATAATAATCAAAAAATCATTTTTATCAAACACGCAGTAAATGGTAAAACTCAATGTATATTTCACAGAGACACAATGATGCAAGGATACGCGTTCGTCTGGACTGAAATGGTCAGTGACTTACTTGCTAAACGTGAAAATGGCTTAGAGTATACAGGCCTTACAGATTACTTCAGACTTTTAGATGAATATTTAGATAATCAGTTAGATCCAGCCAGTGAGAACACATTCGAAGAATACGTGGATCCGCCAACTGAGGTGGAACCAGACGAAAATGAAATACCAGATGATAATAAAGCGCAAGATTATATAGCAGAAAAGGAGGAAGTCGGACCGCCAACACATGAAGACATCAATGAGAATATTATAGATACGGACGAAGAAACTCATGTGAAAACGGGTAGCGATGCTTCTACAGTTGGCGTACTGGAAATTAAGAATCCCGTTGCAGCATCAGACCATAACGAAAACGTCAATCCTCAGGAAGCATCTTATAACGTATACTGGTGGATAGGCATAGGTGTCGCGATAGCAGTTGTCGTGATCTTGGTCGCGATAATTGCGAGAAAACGACACGGCCACAGAAAACAATTAGAACGGCAAAGGCGTCAAAACTCTCGGGCCTGATTTGAAGAATATCGGTTCTAGAAACGGAACCGATATTCAATATCAAAGACATTAGTGATGTTGATGGCATTTGATATGTTCGAGTACAAATATGTGGTTTCACGTGTTTCATATTTTTAATTTATTGTTTTGTGTTTGTGTCTCTCTCTGGTGCTCTTAATCTAATTCCATTTCACCGCATTCAACTTTGTTCTATAATCATAGAATCTTCATATTCTAACATTACATACTAAGTGTATAAATAGATAGTAAAGATGGAAATATTTTTGTACATATCACAATTTGAGCGTAAGTGATTGTTACCAAGTGTTTAATGATAAATAGGTGTATATTTATACTTAGGTGTAATTTCGCTGTGCCTTAAGCGTTTCAATTTCTTATAAGTAATAATAATAATGTTATAGGGGTGATCTTTGTAATAATACGAAGTAAATTTTATAAACCTTTACTCTGCTGTAAAAAGACCAAATTCCGAGGCATTTTGTGTTTTAACATTCTTTATGTATTTATAATTATAGTCATTTCATCTCATCGAGTTGAAAAATAATAATTATGTAACTATTGGGATATCTTTGAAAGAATTCGATTATAATATTGTGAAGTTTATTTAATTAGATTCTACTGTCAAAGCATGAAGTACCAAATTATGTCGAAATTGTAATAAAAATAAATGTTTTAAACATGTAAAGGTATTTTTTAATTCACAAACATAAGTAAGCTACTTGTCCGCCACGTCGTCTACGTCGAGAGCAACAAGCTTTGTTTATTCGTATAAGGAGTAAAAAAAACACATTAATATTTTTCTTAAGGTAACTATGTCTTTACATTATATAGCGGTAGAATTTGTTTTTTATATATATGACACGCACTTAGGTAATAATTGAATTAAATGTACAAACAAACAATTTGTATTACTTGATTATAGTAAAGAGGTAAACGTACTAGTAATCTCTTATAGTAGCCATTTTGTGTATCTCCCTCACATAAAAATATTCGTTACCTTAAGATGAATTTAGGAGAAGACGTCTTACGTTAATCTCGCGGCTACGGAAATAATAGTATTATTTGCTCGTTAATAATTTGTTTCCACCAAACACCCTGGTATCCCGAACAAAGGATAATGTGAAATTAAGATAATTCGTACTCATTCCGCCGCTTTCGTTCGGCTAATCCCTAACCATTTTACGACACGCTCACACAATTTCAGGCAGATTTCCTCGAGCCCAATAAATATATTTATAATACTAAAAACATATGTACAGCACTAATTTATCCCTTCATTATCCGGGGATGTTTGTATTTGTATAATATACTTACCCTCATTGAATATAAGGGTTTTTGCCTTCATCGTTAGAACAGGGGTTGGCATATGATTTAAAGCTTTTGACCTCTTGTTTTATCGTGATGAACAAGTATGATTGTTTTGTAAATTAAATTACGCATTTCACTGTTGCCCGCCGCTTTTTACCAGAAATAGAATTCAAATTGGTGAAATTGTATATATCTCATCCATGTTACGATATATATATAATTTAGTACAATAACTTATTATTTTAACGTTCTTAATTTAATAATTAAATCTTTACCATCAGCGCAAATTTGATGATAATAGGTGTGAGATGAAATTTAAAAAAGTAGAAAGATAAATTAAATATTTAACTAATCTTTTATTAATTAAAGATAATTTTAGGAAGCAAAATTTACAGCGATTTCGTAGTTAGTACGCATTTAGGTTTAAGATTCTAGATGGTTGTGGGTAGCTTAGGCATATAATTTAACCAAAAATAATGTATCAATCAGGTATTTTTATTTGAGCGATTGCGTTACTTGGCTTATGTGGACGAGATTTGTTATAAACTGAATCCTTCATCCTTCTACAGCACTTCTAGGTCTATATAAATACTTATAAGTAGATTCTATGTAAATAAGTATCTGAAAAATACCAGCCAGGATTTGGCAGACACGTTTCTGAAATGGTGGCAATGTATGGCTAATAACCAACGGGTCGTTGGTTACTTATCAAATCCGGAAATCTGCATATTAAATAAGTGGTAAGAATATCGAAATTCCGTATCGAACCGTTCACAAATGAAAAAGCCCTCAATTTAAATCGCGTATATGACTGGAATATTTCTCGTGCCATTAAGTGTAGACGCATGCTTCCTCCTCATACAAATTTCATTAAAGTACCTTTTCAAAATAATACAGTTAGGCGGTTGTAATGCTATTAAAGTTATAACATTCGCAATAGATTAAAAGTTAATCCATAGCGAACACATAAAAAATATTAGATGATAAAAGTTTTGAAGTTAACCGTAAAACGTTATTAGACGCGACATCAATTCGCAACTAATAAAAACTTACTAACGTCTATTGATCGATTCACTTATAAATAAGAAATACTTACCACCAATTTCCTAAAGGAAATTGGTGGTAAGTATTTCTTTTCGATCTTCTTAATGGACTTTTAGAACTATGTTATACGCTCGAGTATGTTTATAAAATATAGCTAGTGTCTAGTCGTCTCTTTAAACAGTTTTAATAGACAAATTTCTACGATTGGCTATAAAAGACCAAAGATTGTTAATCTTTGGTCATTTTTATTTTACCTTGGGTGATTGAATTGTTACATATCAATTTACATAATCTCAGTTGGTAGAGCAACAGTATGCTGTTAGTTAGGAATTCGGGACCCACTCGTATCAAGTGTTGAGTCACGTGGGTTCGATCCCCATCAGGGCCTAATCATGCATCTGGTAATCTGTATATTACATGGGTGGTAATTATCGATAATCGAAGAAGCCGTGAAGTTTTAACACGTTTCGGCTTCAGTCTGTAGATTTACGTATATCCAAACCGAAAATAGGTCGACCTCGCATCTTGTTGAGATGCTTTACGGCTGGGATACTTCACCGTTCCATCAACCCTATGCTTCCTCCTGAATAATAAAGAAATAACCTAAAATATATGTTAGGAGATTATTTTTAAGGATGGTTCGTTATCGGAACTTTTAAACGGCGGATTCCATTGTTGAACACAAAGTTTGTTTAATCAAAATTTGTTGAAATTCTGTCTAAAGCCAGACAAATACTATAATTCGTAAATTAAGCTTATTGGAAACCTTAATTAATAAGTATCAATTTTCCAATTAACTTTCTCGGAAAACATTATTTATGTACGGAACTCGAGTAACAAAATATTAATATTATGAAATAAGGACTTAACTATAAGACATGAATATAGATAAATCATATATGACATTTGATAAAAGTGGAAAATGTAATTCATAGAAAGAAGATAGATAGAGTTCAAAAATGGAGAACCATGTATGCATGGTAAACTTGAACTACAACAAAACGAAAAAATTTTAGACCCAGCTTTGTCAAAGCTGATGTGGGCATAGACTGGACACCTGTTAAGAGTCAAGGACAGCCATTGGTGTCGAAAGTTAGTTAAGAACAGCGAAAAGAGAAAGCAGAGACGACTGTTTTGAAGGATGCAGGATTATTAAGGAACTGATGACGTGCTGTAAAAAGACGATTGACAGTGGAAGCGTATAAAGTCTTCTATTACCAACTACGGACTTATCAAGAGCTCATAACTTATTTACTTAAATAGTAATAAATATATTTATTAATACCACTTTTCACCCAAAACTTAACGTTTACATTAATGGAACGCCGGGCCTTAATTAAAATAAATAGAACATAAGTTAATTAATATATTTCGCGTTTTAAACCGTTAGTAGTGCTGTATTTAAGTACATTTTTCTTATAAGCACCCTTTCGTTAAGTGAGCTCAGCATAAACGTCTATCCTAAACTTCAAAAAGTCACAATTAACAAACAAAATTACCTCATAAAAATTAATATAGTCAAAAGCTGTATCAACAGTCTGGAACGATACAAAACTGTTTGCTTTAAGGCAATTAATCAAGATAGACTATGCAACCATCTGGCGTTGTACTTTATAACTTCATATTTTGTAGTAATCTTAATGGCACCCAATGTTTCAATTAAACACAGTTTTTCATTTTAAAGTTTATAGCCCACGAGTATTTCTGCTTTAAATTTATTATTTTTAGATCACTTATAATGTTATGTTACGACAGCCTCTTTGGTGTAGTAATAGGTTTGTCGGTCTGTATCACGTAGTCCGGGGTTTAGTTCACAGGGTCAAAATTTTAGATTTTAAATTATATTTTCTAAAAAAGTTTCTGATATCAGCGTAAGGTAAAAATTAATTTTATTTTATATTTAAGGTTAATAATTAATTTTATAATTAAGGTTAAATACTATCTATAGTTTACGCGAGCAGTACATATTTAAATAAAACAGTTTAACCGCTTAAAACGCATTATATATTAGTTGAACTTAATTGTTCGTCACCGTTCGGGAAACCGCCTCGTGGTAAGGTCGTGCCGTGTTTAAAATAATTTTCAATATTATATTGCGTTTTAAACTGTTACAGTGTTTTATTTAAACTTTGACTTTTTATAAAATTCTGTATTTAAAACCTTAAGCGATTCCATACTCTGGTTGGACAGTGTTTAAAATTTGTACTCGAAAATTATTAAAGTTTATAGCCGTTTGGACGAATCGTTCCAAGCTACGATCGCAGTCAAAAATGGAATTAACTATCACATCTGCGACTAACGACTTCTACCATCTCTCAGAAATACAATTAATTAACTTTTATCTTTAAGAAGCGAGCGTAAGTCACGTACCGAGAAAAGCAATTTTATAAAGCCGCTTAAAATTTTCGACTTATATTTATTTTCGTGATTGTATTGAAGTTTGTTGGATAAATGCGCTCTTATCTTTTATAATAAAGCCTTAGGAAGTTAATTGAAAAACAAATTAAGTTAATGATGAAGATATATGAATACTGTAATATGTGATAATTGTATTGTAAAAAATTAACGGGTCGTAAATTTGAATCTTACCGAATCCAACATGTTTCTAGAAGATTTAAAACAAAATCTAAAACGTGTTAGACTTC